TCCCTTGTGACATTGTTAGGAGTCCAATTTTTACACTTAAACCAATAAGCGAGACACGCGAGTTATTTTTTTCTGTGCCAAAGGAAACTCAGATCTTCCTCCCAGCTTTGGGAGAGTGGCATGGCTGTGTGGCTGGGGTTTGGCAATCCCTGCTCTCAAGACTGGGCTAATGCTTAGGGGAGAAGTAGGGTTCACGGGTCACGGGCCAGGATGCACATGGAGGGGTGTCCAGCCTTGCAGAGGGTCCCTGTGACCCACTGTGGGGACTGATTGGTGCACCCTGGGCAATTCATGGCACAGCCTTTGTGCAGCCTCCTGGACCATGGAGTGCTTTACTGTTCTATTGTTATTTCCCTTAAATTATTCTCTACCTTTTTGACCTGAAATTTTTATGCAGCGGCAGGGCAGGGAAAATATTTTAAATGTCGAATAAGGTATTTATCCTCCTTTTTGGCACAGCTGTGATACAGAAGGACAGATGTGGTCTTGGAAATGATGTAATTTTTCTCCTGTCATTTCTTGACTTCCCTTACATACTGTTGCAGGTTTATAGGAGAGTGTAAAGCCTCCTTACTTTTTAATTTCAGATGATTGCTTAGGATCATATTTGAAACACCTCAGTCTCCTTTGAACCATTCGGTCAGTAGAGTACAGATTGAAAGAGAAATTTTTGAAAGTCAGCTCTGTGGTTTTGTTTGGCTGGGTGGCTTTTGGGTGGTAGAAGAGGAGTCATACATGCCAGCAGCATGGGCTGTGCTGCAGGCAGCCACATTATGTTACCTGGGTGGCCAGTGGGTGTGATGCAGAAACTCATTACCTGGGCTCTGCCTTGAGGTGTTGCCTCTAAATAACAGCAAGCTGTGTTTTCACAACTGGCATCTTCGGGTGTTTTGCTGAAGACAAGAGTAGTAGTACAGTTTGGCTGTAAGAAAACCATCTTCTCTGACTGTTTTTGTAAATTTGTTTCTTGGGGATGCTCTTACTGCTTTAAAAACATGGCTTTCCTCTCATGTCCCAGCAATGAGCTTCCTATGTGGTTTGCTTTAGATCCTTTTCAAAACCAGACTGAAGCCACATCAGAAACAGGAAATATTTAAGTGTTGCTCCACTGTCTCTGGGTCCTGGCTGACTGTCTGGTGTTAATCTTAGCAACTGATTCATTTGAATAGTTCTGAATCTACAAATGAATTGCACTGCTGTGCAGTAACCTCCAGGATAATACATCTGCTTCTGTACAGTGGAATGCATGCTTATCTAAAAATAAAGGAAAACAAATGAATTGGTGTCAGGCAGTCCCTTAGATGTAGGAGAGTTGGTAGAGATGCAGAAATGAAGGTCTGGAGCAGCTGCCCAATTTTGCAAGGACTGAACTGGGCCAGAAATATGCTCTTGTCTTATAGAGATGGCTGTAAGAGACACTAGATACATGGCAATTGAAGGCATGATGTCTGTGGACTGGGTTGCATCCTGGCATCCTGGGGCTGAGGGGACTGGCCTGGCTTTGAGAGGGCGAGAGCAGAGGGCACAGCACAGCTGGCAGCTGCCTGCAGGCACCTACAGGCATGATGAGGTCAGTTCTTCTTGGCAGTGGCTGTCACAAAACATGGGGCAGCAGCTGCAGCAGCTGTGGTTTGTGGCTTGTTTGGGCTAGATATGGGTAAAAAGCCATTCCCCAGGGACGTGCCCCTGGCAGGGTGATGATCTTCATTCTAGGTTGCTCTCGACTGGCTTCTTAACTCCTGGCTGCTGGGCACCACTGCTCTGGCACTAGGAATCATTATTGGGATGAAAATTGCTCTTTTGGTGACCACTGTAGAGGAATGAGGAGGTCTAGGAAAGGAGCAAGTCCCTAACCATTGGATGGGTGCCTTGCACCGTGTCAGAGCTGGATGTAATAAAGCCTTTCCTTGCAGAGAGGAGAGCTGGGATTTGGAAGGGTCCCGTGACAGCAAGTGGAGAAAGAAATGCGACTTGTGCCTTGCTCCAAATGGCTTGTGAGGTTCCACTAAGCTTTCAAGTAGTGCCTTATTGCCCATGATCTGGATTGTGGCTGTGTGCCAAGCACTGATCTATTGGCAGCTGTTTTCTGTGTTACACAGAAACTGATTTTCTGTGTCAGTTACAGCTGACATTTTATTAAAACCTACTGTGAATGAACATTAAATATTGTTACATCATTTTTAATATCATAAAACATCGTGACATCATTTTATGATGATAAAACATCAACATGGCTACAGCACAGTCCAGTAGTTTCTGCCTGGATTGGGGCTACTTGATTTTGACTGTGATTAAGGGAGATCAGAAACTGAGCAGTTTGGCAGATGCTGGCATTTACCAGTCCTGATTTTAATAGAGTATTGCTCTGCCACAACAACCAGGGACAAGTTGTTAGGTGAGAATTTCTGCTCCTGTTAAAGAAAAAAACCATGTCTTTGTTCTCCATCTTGTAAAATTTGAAACCATGACCCAAGGGTGCCTACAGACTCGAAATGCAGAAGGCGAGGCTGCAATTTTACTAACAGTTTATTTCTTTTGAATTCTCTTTGGTGAGTGGTGGGGCCAAGCCAGTATCTGCTGGCTGCCCATGTTGCCTGTAATGCTTGAAGCTGCTTGTCTTCTTCTTTGGGTGTGCAGGTTTTCTTTGCTTCACCCCAATCTACTTTTTATTCATAGAACAAGCTTGGGTTTGAAGTGCACTGGTTGCATACAGGATTCCAAATTCCAAGGCTGGACTGTGTGTGGAGGAGCAACGAAGGGTGTTTTTAATCCTATTTTCTACCAGAATAGGCCAATAATTTTGGAAATTAGTGTACTTGAGATTTTTCTTGGGTCTGTGTCAGCATCAGCACAATTTACAGACCAGTCTCCTATGCTTGTTTTCACGTGCATATATGGCTTAGATCTACTCAAGCAAGCAATCCTTCCCTCTTGCTTTCTAAATATAGATAACTGCCATACACATTCATGCATAATATGAATGGTAAAGTGATGAATTCATTAACATTTTGCAGAAATGCCTATTTCCTCTCCTCTTGGCACAGAAGAAAATAGTATCTTCGTGCTTGTAGAAATGACAGGCTGGATCCTACCCCCCCTTGTCGTCCCCCTGCTGCCTTGCTCCATGCAGTTGCATGGGGCTGGTGATGACCTGTGTAATATATGCAGGAAGCATGCAGTTAGCTGAGCACAAACCAGGCAATCAGGATTAATAAATCCAGGTCATTCATGGATGGCTGTTTTTCCTGCAGAGTGGGGTGCTGTGGATCCCTGTTCTTGTGGGCTTCCTGCCCCACAGGGATGGCCAGATGCATCACCAATGCCATTTTGAGCAGTCTGCCTCCTGCTCAAGCAAGTCCTGGGCAGTGGCTGGAGGTTGATGACCATTCCCTTAGCCTAAAACCTGTGACAGCTAGTGGGGTGAGTGGAGAGTGAGCCTGCTGCGTGCCTGTTGTGCCAGGGTACTTGCAGCCAGAAGATGCTCATTTCCAAAGTTTGAATCTCAAGAAGCCTCTCTTTACAAAATTAGTAAATTCTCAGAAAAATGAGAAAGTAAAAATCACAAAGGCATAGAACAATCCAGGTTGGAAGGGATCTCACAGATTATCTGGTCTAACCTTTTGAGGGAAGGAGACAATGTAGATGAGATTATCTAGGACAGTGTCTAATCGCATACTGAAAACCTCCAGTGATGGGGAGGATGCCACATCCCTGGGGAGGTTGTTCAGTGAGTGATTGTTTGCACTGTAAAAAGTTTCATCCTTATGTCAAGATAAAACACCTCTTAGTGCAACTTGTGCTTGCTGCCCCTTCTCACTGTAGCTCCTTGTGAAAAGAGACCCTTTTTCCTCTCTGTAGCCCCCCTTTAAAAGCTGCAAGACTGTACTGAGAGGTCCCTCACAGCCTTCTCTTGTCTGGGGAAAAAGGACCAAATTCCTTCAGCCTTTCCTCTCAGAACAAGTTCTACAGCCCACTAATAATTTTGCAGCCCTCCTTTGTACCCTGTACAGTCTGTGTCTTCCTTGAATTGTAGGATTATGCCAATGTCATTTGTGGCTTGAAATATAGGGTCAAGCCAATGTCATTCCTGGCTTAACACTGCTGTGATGCGTTTTGTATCAGTTTGTTAGAACAAGCACCCCTGAGAACAGATTTAGGATGAGCCTTGTTTGCCAAGTTGCAAGCAGAAAAGGCCTTAATGCCGTGTAAGTGCTGCTCGGCAGAGACTAAAACATCCCTGTATTATCAACAATGTTTCCAGCACAAATCCAAAACATAACCCCGCAGTAGCTACTGAGAAGAAAATTAACTCTGTCCTAGCCAAAACCAGTGCAGTGCAGCCATCAGTGTCTGTGGGATGCTGGGGGATGCAGCTCCTGTGCAGTTGGTCTGCAGCACAAATTCCCATGGCCCTCCAGCTACATCCGCTCCTTGCCGTATTAAGAACATCTGGACAAAGTGATTTATAAACTCTCTCCCTTGATAGCACTGGTGGTATTTTCTGTCTCAGCAATTTTCTGTATTGCTGAACTATTACTCATGAGCAGATTTTGTGGTAAGACCTTTTCCAGACTATAGTCCTATTTAATGTGTGGCCGTGTCCTCACCTTTCCTTCTTTTTACCCACTCCCTTGTTCAGTTTTACTATGGCTCTGTTGATTTCATGTCCTGGGGCTATGCCTTGATTTGTGAGCTTGTGACTTTTCACTGTTAGCTCCTACAAACCTTTCTTTGTACCTGGACTGAGCACCTTGTAGGCCAGGCTGGGTCAATGCATGAAACAGCACTGGTGACTTGGTGTTTTGCCTCTTGTTCCCCAGAGCTAATGTATTATTTGGGAAGTGCAGACTGAAGAGTTGGTTTGCTCACTGGCCTCAGAAGGGCTTCTCAGCACCTAGCCATGCTCAAGACTTTTTTTTGGACTACTGTTATAAGTCATGGCTTCACATTTTGTCATTCATGCGGTTTCTTTACTGGTATTCCGTTCTTCTTTCTTGCAGGCTCCACATCTGTTTGTTACAAGCCTACCAGCCCAGTCCAGGTACTGGAAGACTCTGGCTTTCTCTACCAGGATCACCAGTTGTTTGCTGGCAGGCATGAAGCGTCCCCACTAACAGCTGAAGTGATCAGTGCCAAAGAAAAAGCTGGTAAGTGCATGGCCACACTTCTGTATGAAAGCGCTGCCTTTTCTTCCAGGTTTTTCCCAAAGTATAAATTGAGCAGTTTAAACCATTTAAAAGTAATATTTAGAGAGTTGAAGGCCAGCTTTTCATTTTTCATAGAGTCAAAGTTACCTTTGACTTGTGTATTGTGACCCACCATCACTTGTCACCTGTATTTGTGGAGGGTGCATCATTTCTGCTAGTGTTTTCAGGACATGGTTGCTTTTCAGTGCACAGCTGGACCAATTTCCATGGCTCTTTTGCTGATGGAGCAAGACCATAGACACTGTGGAAAGTTCACTGTGGTTAATCCTTCTGGACTTCAATAATAGGCAGTTTAAAGAACACCTCCCAGATAAAAGGATGATAACATGACTAGCATGGAAGTGGAAATCCTGATGTATTATAAAGAACTGCCTGGACTGTGTGATGTTGGCTTTATCCCCTTTCCTCAGGCTTTTCTCAGGCATTGTCTAACAACCTAGACTGTATACTTTCTGGTGTGTTAGGGAGACATTATTGCTTGTCTGTGAAAATGCCCAGTGTGATGAGGCTTCTGTGTGCTGTGATAACATGAACAAGACAGCAAGAGTTTGCTGTAACTGCAGGGACATTTAAAGCAGCTGGATACTTGGCTGTTGAGCAGACAGGTAGATGGAAATGCACTGTGTGTCTGTGCATCTTCCTGCCTCAAACACCATCCCCAGGAGCTGACAGACTCTCTGAGAGCTGGTGGGCAGACTGCAACCCCAGTGAGTGAGGCTGGCAGGCAGATAACATTGTTTCAGGGAAAGCAGGAGAGGTGTATCTGCTAGGGCAGGTGTGGAATGAAACAGCCTGGGAATCTTCTCTCTCTCTTGAGCCACACAATCATCTTTAAGGCTTTGCCACAGAAATGCTAGCGGAAATGACCTCTTATCATTGTTAAGAGTCAAAGGCTTTTCTTTCCCTCTGGCATCTGGGTTGTATATAAGTTATCCCACAGCATGTGTAGTAACTGGTGAAACCTCAGGGAAATGACCAGACCTCAAGAGAAAGCTTGCTTTTAAACTGCTTTCAAATGTCAGGAAACATATGTAAGTCCTGACAAACTCCTCTGAACATTGGGAAAAGCAGGAGAGAGAAAGTTGCCAAGAGTGACCTCAAGAAACCAAACTGCAGAAAGCACCTCCTTCTTGCCTAGGGACAATTGGAAGACTCTTCTCACTTTTGTCTGCACTGGAGTCTTTCAGAAACATTCCTCTGAGTTCAGACAGTGTTCAGATACACATCTTACAGCACTTTTGGGATGGAAGGAGGGCTCCAGGGGTCTCAGCCATGGTTAAATCGCAGAATATGCTGAGTTGAAAGAGACCCTTTGAGATTATGAAGTCCAGCTCCTGGCCCTGTGCAGGACAGCCCAAGAATCACACCATGTGCCTGAGAGCTTTGTCCAAATGCTTCTAGATGCTTAGCTCCAAGAAAGCTCCACTGCATATATAGTGCAAACATGGTGCCATTGACTCTAAATAACTTCGGTAGCCTGTGTTAGGGTTGTGTAGCTAATCTGTCTGTGCTTTTTTTTTAAATGCTGGCATTACATCTATAACCATAATATCTTCCTTGTAAAATCACAACAGCTGTTATTGACTCCCTTAGAAATAGTGTTTTCATCCAGAAGGGAAATTGCCATTTTAGAGGAAGATGCCAGAGCACAGATTATTCCCTGACCTTTAGGACCATTTCATTTTCAGTTCCATTTCACAGTTTTTCTGTGACACATCTTATATTTTATTTTGTCATGGCACACAGTTCACTTACACCTTTGGCCATCAAAAATGCAGCAGTTAGTGTTGCCCTGCAGGCTGCCTCTGTAAGTTGTGCAAGCCATCTCCAGGGAGAGGTCAAACACTGAAACAGGCTTCCTAGAGAGGTGGTCAATGCTCCAAGCCTGTCAGTGTTTAAAGAGGCATTTGGACAAGGCCCTTAATAAAATGCTTTATCTTATTGTGATGCTCTGAATTGGCCAAGCAGTGGGATGAGATAGCCATTGTAGGATCCTATCCTATCCTAACCTAACCTAACCATGTTAGAAAATACCAAATTTCACTGTGACATGGAATCTCCCCTTTTGACTTAGAGGCAGGTTCAGAGCTGTGGGTACTGGACGCATGGAAAATTATTGAGGGGAAGGCCAGGGAGGGGACTGGAATGTGTTCCTAGGGGTCACTGCCAGACAGAATTAGGGTGTAGGGGTGGAGGATGAGCAGGGAGCAGTGTTCTACCTCCTTCGTTGGCTTCCAGCCATGTCCCCTGTACTGCCAGGGGAATCCTGGCAGAACACTGCCCATGGGCGTGCATCCTGGGCACGGGGTCACCGTTGTGGGATGTAGGAAGGGAAGAAACAGCAGGGGGAATTCTAGCTCCTGGACAGCTGAGCTAATGGGTGCCTTTCTCTCCCTGGCCAGCTGAGGAGACCCTCTGCACCCTGCGCCCGCCCAGCTTCCGCCGTGTGCCAGAGGCGGAGATGCGAGGGGCGGAGGAGGTGGCAGCCGGCACCGTCCTGCAGCGCCTGATCCAGGAGCGGCTGAGGTATGGCAACCCCAGCGAGAACATGAACCTGCTGGCCATCCAGCACCAGGCGACGGGCAGCGCCGGCCCCTCCAACAGCACTGCCAGCACTCTCTCTTCCGCAGAAAACCTTGCTCCCGAAGACCTGCCAATGGTCCAGCCGTCAGGGCGGCAGGAACCACAGGGGCAGGAGCACCAGGGGGACGGTGCTGCCATGGAGAAGCAGCCTCGGGCCCCGCAGCCCCCGCACAGCACCGAGGAGCTCCCCACTTACGAGGAGGCCAAGGCTCAGTCCCAGTTTTTCCGTGGCCAGCCCGCACCACCAGCCACTGCCGCCACGCCGGGTTTTTATGGCTCCTCCAGCCAAAAGTCCAGGACGGAGGGGAGGCCTACGGTGAACCGGGCCAACAGCGGGCAGGCGCATAAGGATGAGGCGCTGAAGGAGCTGAAGCAGGGCCACGTCCGGTCACTGAGCGAGAGGATCATGCAGCTCTCACTGGAGAGGAACGGGGCCAAGCAGCACCCCCCAGCCCCAGGAGGTGGGAAGGGTTTCAAGGCAGCCCCACAACCCAGCAAGGCCGCGGACCCACGGGGCCCGCCTCCCGAGTACCCCTACAAAGGCAAGGCAGCAGCCCCAGGCAGCAAGGCGCAGGAGCACGGGCTCTTCTATGGCGAGCAATCCTCACAAGATGTCCTCAAGGCCGCCTACGCCGCCCCCCAGCCCGCCCGGGCGGAGCTGGCCCTCGTGCGCTACCAGCCACCGCCAGAGTATGGGCTCAGCAGGTAATGGCCACTGGGGGGGTCTGTGGGGTCACCAGGTCCTGCCCGGGTGTCAGGGGGGCTTGGGCCTCGTGTACACACGGCCAGAGTGAGCTGTAGCCCCAGGCACACGGTGGGGACATCGCACCCTGCAGTGGGGACATAACATCCTGTGGCCGGGATGGCAGGCCCGGCTGGTGGAGGCACCTGCATCTCCCAGAGGACTCTATAAAGCTTATATTCCACTATGTGCTACTTACATCTCCCCACAGAACTCACGTGGGGCTTTCACGGTACTGGGCCCCTCATGCCAGGCCTCCCTGTGAGCACAAGTTTATTCCAAGCGCATTAAAAATAATCCAGTGTTTGCTGGCTGTGCGCTGAGCCCTGCGAGTGGTGCAGGTCCTGCCTTCAGAGATGAGGTTGTGTGTTAAGGGCTCTTTCTCCATGTTGTACCTCAATGCAAGTGTTTGTCTGTGTCATCCCTGTCTCTTTGACCTCTCAGACAGTTATTTTGTTGGGTTTGGAAGTCTGACGTTGTTTGGTGTGAATGTGAGCAGTTTCCATGTTGCAAGCTGCCTCATTGGGTCTTTACTGATCTCAGAATCCCCAGAGGTTTTGTTGGCGTCACTTTAAGTTGCACAGTTATTTTACCATAGCACAGGCACAAAGAAAAGGTGGTGCAACCGACCTGGCTCTTTCTGTCCAAAATGTGTAAGGCATGAAATGCAGGAGGGAATGCTCTGCTTTTCCGTGTTTGCAGCAAAGATGGGTTTTGTGTTAAGACAGGTAGAAACTCAAAGTGTAGTTTCAGTGGCAGAGGCGAGGTGGCTGTGACAAGTGGCAGGCCTGCGCTGAGTCCTTCTACAGCTACATGTATGGCCATTGTGCAGAATTTATGCAATTTTTTATGCAAGAGCAAGATGGTATTTTTAAGACCTCAGCAAAAATGCCTGTTTATGCAAAGAAAGACCTATGGAGATGTGAGGGCAACTGGGGCCATGCTTTCCTGCAGTTGTTTGTGATGCTAACAAGCATCTCCAGCGCCGAGCAGATTCATCCCCACAGAAAAGGAGCTGGTTTGGGTATTTTTATCACTCTTGGAAAATGCTGGTTCAATGGCCACAGAGTGTTCTGAGTCTGTGCAAGTGAGTGGAGCCAGGTGCTTCAGCTAACTGGGAACATCAGTGGAGTCAAGTAGAAAACCCTTGGGGGCCACTTCCAAAGATTTTCCCAGTTGCCTGATCAGCAAGGTTAATGCTGAGAAACCTCCTTGATCCAGTGCAGATTTCCATACCAGTCCTCAGCAAAGGCTGGATCACCCCAGCAGCTGTGGGGAGAAATCCACTGGCGCGTGATGGTGGTCACTGCTCGTTCCTGGTAAGGCAGCATCATTTACCCCCAAATCACACTGCAGAGAGGATATCTACTACCTCTGTGTGCTTTCTTTGCATGGTGCTGGAGAAATCTCCCTCTTGTCAGGTCCTGGGGCACCAGGGGAAGGGATATGCTGTGCAGCAGAGGACTGGCAGCAAGACAGAGCAGAGCAGAGCCAAGTTTTGCACACTTACTAAAAAAATCTTCAGTGGTATCTTTCTTGCAACTCAGCAAGGGCCTTAATACTTGTCAATCTGCTATCCCTGGCTATGCCAGCAAACTTGTACAGATGTAGGTTAGGGGGTTGGTGTGGCTGGGCTTGTTTCACCAAATCAGAGTTTGCTCTAAGGTGTGTGGTGTTTCTTGAGCTTTATTTAAGGCAGTTCTGGATCCTTATGTACAGGTGGTCATTTGCAGGTCCTTCTTGGCTTCCTTCATATGCTGCCTGGATTTTGGGAAGGTTTTCTGTCAGTGAATGGGGGAACATCTGACTGTTTTCAGATGTCAAACAGTGAGCCTCTGGGTCTCAGAAAAGTGGTGGTCTTCGTCCTCATCTCAGGCTTCTCTGTATTTTTTAACACAAGGATGTCAACTTTTCACTTTCCTTCGGCACACTGAAATATTCATTACCTTTTCTCAATTATTATGAACTGCTGTCACTAAAAACCAGGAAATAAACTCACTTAGTTTATTCTGTGCTTATCCCAGTTTATAACTGGTCCCAGATCCTGTATGGTCCTGTCACCCAGGAAGATTTGGTTGACAAAAGCATTTTGGAGGTGACTTCAGTTCCTGTGTGGTTATTCATCATTTGTCATTTCTCTATCTCAGCAGCTGTGCTCCAGTGCATCCTTGGATGCATCTTGGGCTGCATGACAGGGTGGGCTTGCCCATGTCTGCGCTGCTTAAAATGCAATTTCATAAAGTGGTCTCTATGCCAAGTATTTCAGTCTTTGGAGAGGATAAAGACAGGTTACCTGTTCAGGAATGTCAGTCAGCCCTGTCTTTACTAGAGGATTTGCCTGGGCAGCAGTCACTGTCTGAGCCCTGCTGGAGGAGTTGGGTGCAGGGGGAGCGCTGTGTTGCACTCCTGGGTTGTTCCCAAGCATAAACCTTCCTGTGAACCCTGCACTTGATCACTGCTTCTCCTCTTACCTGGGCTCTGGGGATGCTCACTGCCAGGCATCTGGCTGGCATGTTGGACTGTGACAAAAGAAGTTGAGATAGGGGACTGCCTGGTTTCATAAGGTTAACTAACAGTAGGGGTAGGGTTTGGAGAGGCTGGTTTTTCTGTTAGAGAAACAAGTGAGGTAAGGAATTTCAGCTTTCGTCTCATCAGGGGTGTCTTGGAAAGAAGCTGATGGAAACAGAACTTTGCTCATGGTCAGATGGGGATCTCATGTACCCCAGCATCTCCTTCCCTCTGTCTTGGTCATATCAGTTCCCCAGCCCATCCATCAGTGCAGGTTCATCCTCTGGACAGGGACCATGCGAGAGTCTTCTGTGTTCCACAAAAGAGTAGAAACACAGAGAGCATTGATCCAGAAAAAGCACTCACAGGTACCAGGGATGGAAAAGACTTAAAGGGTCACTGAACCCCCACTTCCCCACTGTCCTTCTTTGACAAGGGTAATTTGGCTGGAAATGGACTAATGCTGGCCAGGAGCTGTTGAAGGATAATGGAATAACTGTAGCTGCTGCTTAATTTCCTTTTTTGGTTTGCAGTTCAAGGCAAGACTTTTTCTTTTGCACATGACTGGTTTTAAAGGAGACATTGCCTTTATAATCATTGGGGTGAAATCTTGAAATTTATTGTAAATTTCAAGATTATTAATTGGTGTTGTACTGAAGAAATCCTAGAGTCATATGATGTTGTAATCTCAGCATTTTTATAAATTAGATTAGTGACTTCTGTTTTATGGACATCACAGTTGCAGACCAGAATTTGAACCTTGAAGCTTAAAGGACAAAACAACTGGAAGGCAAATAAAAATGAACCAGTATTTTTGTCTTTTAAAATGTCAGTATTTTTAAGCCAGTTGCTTGATGCTTGGGGCCCTGACTCACAACTTCTGAATGCTTTAAGTTAGCCAAGTATAATAATCTTTAGAAAACGTTTCCTTTCCTAGATGTGCAGCCATTATTTAATGGTGTCTTTGCTAACTTTCCTTAGGTGTAGGTTCAGAAAGTCACAGCTTGTAAGGTAAAAGGGCTTGGAACTAATCTAATTTAGTTTTTTGCACGATGCCATGAATTAATTCCAGTTTGTGAAACATTCAGTCCTGGTGAGTATAACAATCTCCATCTGGAGAATCCATCACGGATTTTATAGCCTTGTTCCTCTAGCTAATTGCCATCTCTGGCAAAGGTCTCCATTTTAGTTTCAGCCTGTGTTTTTTAGTTACCAGGGATTTTGCAAAATCTTTGTCAAATACAGTGAAGAGACGTGTGCTATCAGTTCTTTAATACATTTAACAGATGGAGCCCTGTATAAGCTGTACTTATTTCACTATTGTCAAAATTCCTTTTTTTCACTGTGGAAAGCCAACCTGAACACTGGTTCAGTACCAGCTGGACCAGAGGCTAATCAGGTGTAGTAACACCTCTGATTTGACTCGTGTTCCTTGTTTACATAGCTCATTAACACTTGCAGTTGGCACCCTGGGATCTCCCCATACAGCTTGTTACTCAGTCAGGCATGTGAGAGTTGTCACAGCCCAGGATAGTATTTTCCACCCTTTCACTTTAGCTTGCTGTATTTATTCCTGGATGGATGAACTTGGACCAGCTCAAGTCGATATTGTATCTCCATGTCCTGCTTAAGCTGTGATCCAGATCACTTGGTGCAATGAATCCACTTCATTGGTCCCAGTGGCTCTTGTCAGATCCTGGTGTCTTTTATTCAGAATGATTTCTTTATCTGCACTATTAATAAAAAGTGTGTGTAATGCAAATGAAGCCTTGAACTGGAAACTCTGCTTCTTACTGAGGGGAATTAATTTGTGGTACGTGCAGAAGACAATCATTTTCATTCTGATTTAATCCATGCATTTTCAAAATCAGCATGCAGAATCAATGAAAAGAATAAATCTGGGCTGTTTTTAAATACATCCCATTTTTTATGTGCCTCATAAAATTCCACCCTGCCAGGATGTAGAAGTCTATCATTAACTGCTGAAATAGTCTGCTGCTTTTCCAGTATTTGCGTATTTATTCCCTCACACACATTACTGCTGTTTTCAGACAACCTGTTGATAGTTACCGATTCAGCCATGTCTGTGGCTGCTGTCAGGACACAAGGAGCTCGTTTTCTTCCCTGAGACAGCCCAGGCAGGCGGGTTTGCTGGCACTGTGGACAAGCTGAAGGATGTTACACCCAAACTGACTTGTCCTGGCTTTTCTCTGGCAAGGATAGCCCAAGCATGAGCATGGGTTGTAGGCTACACTTCCATCTGACAGCCCTGCAGGAGAGCTTTGCTTATCCCTTCCTTCTGGTCTAACATGCCTTACATTAAAATAAATGAAAGTGAAATTAGGCTGTTTCCACAGCTTGGATGATGCCCTGTCATTTCTCCTTACCTTTCTCTATTATTATCCCAGCTGGTTCCTCTAGAAGTGAAGAGGTTCAGGAAGGCACCTTTTCTTTA